AACTAAAAAAGTCTTTATGACGACTGAAAGCTACCACAGGTTATCTTTCATGTTTGTACGGGGAGGGCGAGATGAGGAGTATTCGGGAGACAAACAATAAAAAGTGACAGTATAATGTAGGAGTCATTTCTACTTCTTTCTATTTCTGGAGCATTAACACAGGCACGTTTAGAAAGGGCACTGCGCTAGCTTATACAATGCACGGCACACAAAATAATATTTTCGTGTACAGAGCCCCACAAAGGGAGATGGAAGAATGAACTATTATTGTGCTCTGTTGCCATTTTCGCACACAAAAGTCTGAAAAACACAGAACATCATTTTGTCTGAAACTCATTTAAATGCTCCAGATATAAAGAACATGCCATATATTTTAAATTGTGTCACTCGTTTGTGTCACGTCTCCTTTGTTTTTAGTCCTCTTTTATAAAAGAGAGTTTTAATTTCTATTATGGACTATGTTGTCTTATTGTTGGAATCGTGTTTTAAGGTTTGCTCCTTATGTCCCACTCTGTTTCCTGTTTTATTTTGTAGTCCCTGCTCCTTGTGTGTTTCCCCCCTGGACTTCCTTCCTCCATCAGTTTCACCTGTTCATCCTGTGCCACCTGTCTCGAGTTTGTCATTAGTTCAGTATTTAAGCCTCTGTGCTTCCCTGTGTCTTTGTCAGTTTGTTGTTGTGCGATGCCGTCTCCATGTGTTGTGTTTCCTTGTGTCTCCCCTGTTTTTTGCCTCAGAGCATTTTGAGTTCTTTGTTGATTTTGGATTTATACCCTGCCTTCCTCAGTAAGGGACACTTTCAGTTGAAAACCTTTTGTTCTCCCTTTTGGGTCCACCCGCTCCCTTACCCTCACCCCACAAAACATTTGAGGGACGTTAAGTATGTGAAGGAAGAGTGCACATATTATAAAAAGTGAGTGAGTGAGCAAGTTTCAGTCCATGGTGACGGATGTGTTCTGGCTCTCAGCAGCGCAGTCCTATCGCCATCACTGGGGAGATTTAAACATAACCGTTGCACTGGTGGAGGTGAAATAATTCCAAAGAACAAAAATAACCATCTTCCAAGTCAAGTGTGATAAAAAAGCGTCCTTACATCACCCATATGCTACCTGCTGCGCCACTAGCTCCTGTAACTCAATGCAATCTTTCGCTGAGCATTTATTTCATCAGTCTCTCTGAGGAGGTGAGGCACGTTCCTGAGGTTTACCGTCCATAAATGATGAATGAGACTCCACCGCAGCGCTAACCATTTGAATCTGAACCCTTTTGCGATTTTAATGAAGGCAAACAATCATTTAATTCGTTAAGCTACAAACAAACCGCAGCCACCGAGGAGGTTTAAGAGAAAGGTAGCACTGTGCACTTTTGTCATAGTTCTATCTTATCATAATTATTATTGACACGTGACCTTATTTTTACATTTAAAGGTTCATTGTGTAGAATTTAGTGACATCTAATGGTGAAGTTGCATGTTGCAGCTGAACACCCCTCACCCTCCCCTTCCAAACATGACAGAGAACCTGTGTTAGCCTTTAATTCGCGTATAAAATATTTTTTATATTTGTTTTCCATATGATGAATAAAAAACAAAAGCATAGTACTTGTACTTGTACTACTGTCGTAAAAACACACAAAGGTGTTTAGTTTGTTAAATCTGGGCAACTGTAAAAAAACACAGCAGTACTTTCTCCAAATGTAAGTATAAAGTATTTAAATATAAAAGTTAAAATAGTAGAAAACAAACAACAATTCATACAATTTAGATGAAACACACTCATGAAAACATCACTAGGTTTATTTTATATTCATCTACCACCAATAGATCCCTTTCACCTAAATCCTACCTTTAAGCTGTAATATCTGTATAATCTAAACCCATCCAGTCTTCTGTGTGATGCTGTTAAAGCAACTTTGTCCAAATCTAATTTTGTTTGTACAGCCCATATTCATAAATCAGAATTTACGAATTAGAACTTCGCAATATATGCAAAGTGCCACATCTCCTGCCTTTGTCCCTCGACTGGGGTAGGGAAAAACTTCTACGTTGCAGAAAAGACATTATTAAAACACATTTCTCCAAACGTTTCAAACAGAATGAAGTCATGTAAATCAGTTATCTAATTGGCAAACAGCAAAAATGGTTTGTTCAAACCAGCGGAACATAACCGTTTTTCACGTGTTCTGCAGTGTGAGTGTTTTCGCCCCAAAGTAGGTCACGCTGTTATTTGGTGTCTTTTAGTGAGATATTTGGCAGTTATTTTGGTCTGACTCAACACTGCCAAAAGCTTCCTGAGTGTCTGAAAATATATCTTAAACAGCCCATGAACCCTAAAAGCTTACCACTTCTGATCAAAGTGCCAGGGTAGATGTGCGTGTCAGTCTGACATCAGGCTCTGCCTTTTATTACTGAAAATGGAACACATTAGCTTTGAATCCACCGGCTGACGTGCAGGCAGCTAAATACAACAAAATATAGGACATACTGTACATATTGTTTGAAGAACTGCTGACAGATGGTCCTCCATGTCCATTACCTGTTGTAGCCCTGTATGATTATTGTCAACCCCATGATTATCATCCAGTACATGCGTTAAAGGTACAGTGTGTAGAATTTTGTGGAAGCTAGTGTTCAATGTTGCAGCTGAACACCCCTCACCTCACCCTCTCCTTCCAAACATGAAAAAGAACCTGTGGCAGCTTCAGTTGTCATAAAAACTCAAAAGGTGTTCAGTTTGTCCAGTCTGGACTAATGTAAAAAACATGGCAGCCTCCCTAGAGAGGGTCTCCTCGATGTAAATATGAAGTATTTAAATATAAATGGTCTTTTCTGGGGTAAAGAAAACTACAATTCATAAAATTTAGATGAAATGAACTAATGAAAACATCATGAGGATTGTTCTACATTCGATTTCTGCCATAGAATCAGTGACAGGGTCCATACGTCCAGCTTTCCAGCCAAGTCTGGTCAGAGCTATTTCCCACAATGGTGTCTGAATCAAATCCCAACCCATGCCTTGACAGAAATACAGGCTCAAATTTCAATAAAAACAGTCTTTACAGAGATAGAATACTCTAAATACACGTTTATTTCTGAGGTTGTAGATTGCACTGGAGTGGACAGCATTATACTGAGAAGAGAATATATATATATATATATATATATATATATAATATACAGAAGCAGTTTATTATGAGCTTTTTGGAAACACAAACCTTTTAGAAAACTTAATTTTGGAACAGTGAGCAACAACAAAATCACTTTACTTTTCTTTGGGAGAGAGGGTCGTCCGCTGACCATAAGGTCGGTGGTTTGATCCCCCTCTCCTCCGCTCTGCATTCCAAAGTGTCCTTTGGCAAACTGCTGAACCCCAGATTGTCACTGACGGCTGTGCCAACAGTGTATGAATGGTGGGTAACAGAAAGCACGCCTCATATTGAGGTTCTGTATAAATATCTGGAGTGAGTAATTGCAACTTGTACTGTAAAGTAGTTTGACCGGTAGATAAAACTGGAATACTGTTATATATAAATAAGTAACCGGCCTTTAATTGGGTATTTTTGAAGATGTAAACTATTATTTACTCAATTTTAAAAGATGACGCTCAGTCGCTGTGTGTTTCTTTTATTTCAGAAACACAACTGATGAATTCATGTGAGGTATACTGTGGGGACCGTTATTGCCATTGTAAAACTGAGGCTAAATTATGCAGCCAGAAGAGGGAGGGAGGGAGGGAGAGAGAGTGGGAAGAGAAAAAGTGACAACAGTTGCGTGAGCTGTTATTTAGGCAGCGAGGCTGATGTGGATGACTGACAGCCTGTAGATGTCAGAGAACTCAATGTGTTTGCGGTGCATTCGACGGACCGGTTTTAAAAAAGCAATGACATTTGCAAACGCGTATATATCATTAAATAAAGAGCAAATCGACCAGTGTTTTTGAGCTACTCTGAGAAAATTGAGCAGAATCGGTCTATAATCACTGACTGTGCCTCGGTTACAGTCAAGAAATGATTAACAACCTCACCCCTCCACCATCAGCCGCCGCTTACGTCAAGAAAAAACCATATTGCTCACTGATTCATATGTTCATGTATGTTTGTGGCACGTTCTTGCTCGGGCAGATCGGTCGGATGCTGCGAATGCAATCAATGAAATCAATCAAATTAGCGCAAATCACGATTTGTCTCAAAGGCCTTTACCAAGATGTGATATCCTCTGTTCTATTAACAGGGGAAGAAACCACATAGGAGCCTCTTTCCCATTTTAAGTAAAAAAAAAAAATTAAAATCAATCACGCAATGATCAAAACAGAAGCGTAAACATTCAGTTGCATTAGCTAGACATCATTCTTTGATTTTCTTCTGAGAACTGAACAATTACACAATCAAGTATTAGGAGGAAACTACTCTTCCTTATTTCCTGCAGAAATAAACCGTTGATAATTATTCTGTGCTTAATTTTCTTTTTTAATTTTAAACCGTGCAATAAACTGCATGATCCTTTTTTAATACTAGTTCTTAATAGAATATACAAATACTTTTTCAGTACATTTAACATTGGGTAACATTTTAGAAGGTAAAGGTACAAGGTGATTTTCTTTATCGCTGCATTTTTCATGTCAAACCATCCACCATTTGCCCATTAATGGCTGGAGAGTTAACATTTTATTACATTTAACATGTAGTGGCTTTCAACAACTCATTTAATGGAGCCAGAATAGTGAAAATGGCCCTCTAATAGTGTAGATTTTTTATAGTGTCCTTTACAATGGCACCACATCACTGGAATAAACTCTGAAATGGACCTGGATGGCCTGCGATGCTTCACGCTGTATGAAAGTATGAAATCTACATCTACTTACCGCCGCTGACACTAAAAGCATTTGCACACCATTTAAATATCACTTTTAAAACCACGGACGATGTGGATTGACCGAAGAGAGGGTGTATTTAAATGATCACATGTGAATTGAAAATGTGGTCCGTCTGTAATCTGTGGTATTTACCTTCTCTGGGGGCGCTGGACGGTTGAATCTGCTGGCACAGACCAGGAAGGAGTCGGGCTTGGGTTTTCCGTTTTTCACCTCAGGGTCGTCCCCCACAACAATGTGGTCAAAAAGACTAAAGAAGGCTTTGTGTTGGCTCGTCTTCAACTGGAACGTCACACCAGCTGAGCTGGTTGCCACAGCAATGGGGACAGAGTGCTTCTGGAGATGGCGCACGAGTTTCTCCACACCTGGTTGTAAAACATGTTTCAAAGAGGCTTACAGTTAGAATAATACTGTATAGCAGCTATACAAGGCCAATGTTTTCAATAAAAATCCCTATTGATGTGAAGCTCCTTCCCGGACAACATTTTTATTCTTGTTTTCAATTTCAATGGCGCCTGGAGAGCAGAGCTGTGGGAGGTTTTTAATCTGCAGTTTCAAGGATGAGAGTCTATAACACCTGAAATAAAAACTCCCTCAAGGAACACGCACCTTTAACTTCCCTGTAAGGTGAAGAGAATGTGTAGACACTGAATACATCCCTGTGCACCCTGTAAACGGTGGTGCTACCAGACAAAGCCGGCCTATTCAAAAAGGCAGCCAGGAAATGTGTTCAAATACGGATCAGTCAAAGATTAATCGATCGCTAAACTTAGACCAATAAAAAGGCCGCCGCAAGGCGTGAGCAAAGGGAAGTCATGCAATAACTCCATTGTTTGTGTTGCAGCCCTGAAGATTGGTGCGTTACACATCTGCAAAATGCGGTTAAGCCCCCGGAACATATCAGCACGTGAAGTAAAGACAGCTGAACAGCGGCAGGAAGTCCAAAAAATTAACCTTATCCCGAAATTGCCCACAGTGGCAGAGGAGAGAATTTGGATGTTGCCATGTGCACACGCAAAACGCTCCCTCGAAAACTGCAGCACGTGAACAATGAAGCTGCCGGCCTACATCTGCGTTATTTGAAAGTTTATAAGGGCTCTTAGACACCTGGTTATATTGTTAATAATGAAGCATTGTAGAAGTTGTTCAGGAGAAGTTACTCTAATGTGTGTTAGTTGCAGATGGGTGTCAAAATAAACAAAGCTTCCCATGTGTTTGAGTGTAAAACGTTCTTGAATCTGGAAAGATTCAACAGGGTAACTGTCTCCATCAAATTCCGTCCATTCTGACAGGCTCAGATTTCTTTTTTCCACGTGTCTGACAACAGTGTGGCGGATTCCTGCAGAGACAGACCTTTCTGTTGAAGAGGGAAGATTCCTTCTGTCTGACAGGAAACAGACGCTGCGTTTAAAAACACCCGACTCCGTTGAGAAAAGTTCTCTATATTGCAGAACGCAGGCGTTGCTGGTGTCCCGCTGATGCAATCAGTCCATTTGTTTGAGTTATTGTGTTACGCTCAGTGGTGGAAGAAGTATTCAGATCCCATACTTATGTCAAAGTAATTAAGCAACTGAGGCACCAGTCAAGGTATTTTGTGTGTGATGGGTTTGAAAACAGACCGGACCACAACCACGAAGGGATGATTACTGGGAAAAAAACAGGAGGGGAAAGAGATGGGCTCTGACGTCTTAGAAAAAAAAATACCCTTTAAAGTGGAGGTGGGCCGCCTTGGCAGAAGCAATTATAATGGGAATACTCTCCGATTCAGCAGTGAGGAGGCTGGAATAACCCTTAGTTCAGTTGAATATCAATAAAGTGCAATCTGGCTTCATCACATCTGATGATGTCTGGTGTTGTGGTGGTGATATGACCTGCTTCCTAATTGAATCAACTAACATGCCCTGGATGTGACCAAAAAAAAAAAAGATGTAGGGTTTGACTGATTCAATTTTGGAGGTGGAATGATAATGAGGTACATGATATGAATATCTGCAGATACAATGTACTGTAAGTAGCATATTAAAACTAATTCTTTTTGGTATCAGCAAAGAGATCTAACTCTGCGCTGTCTAAATGTACCAGCATGCACTGCATGTGAGGCTCTCAGTGAACATTTGCTCAGCTTGTGGAGAGAGGGTGTGTTTACCTGGCTGTTAGCCTTCGCTCTTAATCACATCTGCCCACAGGAACCATGTTTCAGTGTCTGCCTGACAAATGTGCACCGCAAACGCACAATGGTTACAACAGTGCACAGCAGCCCGAACAACAGTCCCCACGCCTTCGGGAAGGAGTCGGAAAATGAATATCCGCATAATGGTTGTGCTAAGTCGACCCTGACAATCAGGATTGTCTTTGTTCAATAGCATAACTGCTGTCAATGAAATGCTCTCCATTATAATTCAACATGAGAGACCACTACCTGCTGCATTACCGTCTTTGTGCAACACAAATGGACCCAATTATTAGATGTACATTTACTCCTGAAGCTATTTCAGCTTTTCGGATTCACATAAACCATATTTTTGGAGAATCAACTGACTTATTATAACATGAGGTGAGTCTCTTTCAGAAATGATGCCAGGACTCATAAAATTCAGGATAAAAATACAGTAAAACCTGGTTGTAGTTTTTATTTGATTTCTTTTTGTTGCATATTGAATGCACATGCAAGAGCAGCGATGAAACAAATCAAGAATACCTGGCATGAGTTTGGCAGAGGGAAATAAGCTTTCTTGTATTTGTCTGCTTTCGGCGAGGAGCTCCTCAGCTGTCATGGGGAGTTCAAGAGCGTCCCGGATAATCTGGGCAGCATCCAGAGCCTTTTTACCCATCACCGTGGACTTCAGGTCCCACGTGTACTGCTTTCCAAAGCGGTCGCAAATGCCCTGGAAGGACACGGTGTAAAGCCGCTCTGTGTCTGCAATGAGGAGACACACGAGGAGAATGAATAGCTTTCAGAGAAATGACACTCAGGATTAATCTTGAATGGAAGCTTTGGTGCACAGCTGCAAAATGTGTTTTTGCCTGCAAAAGAAACAGTAAAGTGCAGTTTGAGTTCACAGCCAAAAGTGACTGAGTGTGTTTGCATGATAAAAGTCAAATATATATAAAATGGTAAACCAGAGGTCCACCATCAGACCTGACATCACTCAAAAATAACGGTATTGGCAGCTGCCTGGCTTAAAGATAAGAATATTATCACCAAGCATGCCCTAACTCATTTTTAAAAGGTTTAATAGATTATAATTTTTAATTCGGCAACATGTGATTTGTAAAACAACTTCTTACTATGAATAAAATGTACATTTCAAACGTCTCGCCCTTACAGCGGAAACACTGGGGGGGAACTTAGAGAAATCAGAGAAATAAAGCCCAGGCTGGTATTTTAAAACGAAGCCGAATTAACAAGTAGGAAACGATGTTTTAATAACTCAACACAATAATGTTCGGAGGGATTCGCTCGCGTGGATATGAGCGGAGGATTCGTGAATGTCCCGATTGGCCGATGGAGTGCTGGGCGAGTTTCAGATGGAGTAAAGCAGCTCAGACATGACACGAGACAACGAGAACACGCGGAGACACCTAATAATAATCCATCCATGTCGAAGAGGACATGGTTCACAGGTTTGAAGCTGCTGCTGGACACGGACATGTTTCCCACCGGCTTCACTTCCGCGTTGACAGTGACGAGGAGGGGACGAACAGGAACTAACACAGACACGAGTCAAACGTTTAAAAAAATAATTAAAAGTGCACCTCAACTAAAATTTACAAGATTTGCATTTATAGTTTTGTCAATTCGTTTCAAAGTAAATACAAAGTCAGTGGAAAATGTGGATTTGGGAAGCAGCTTTTAAACGCAGGGATATTTTTTAGTCGTGAAAGAGCAATGGCTGTTGGGTAATGGAGTCCATACTGAAAGGTTATTATAGTACATATTGTGAAACGTCAAAAATCACAGGAGGCCTGTTTATTTTTAATGAATAACAATTTTAAACGCTTTTATTGTTTTACAAATGCACATGCAGTTAATTTGCAAGAAACATTAATCTATACATCTATAAAAACATTAATAATAATATATGCACAGAATATTCCGTGAGTTTTCAGAGATAAAGATGATTCAACCTGACCCTAGATGGGGATAGAAAGAGGCTTCGGAAAATAATCATGGAACTACTTTGATGGTCTCGTTGGTTGTTATGAAGCAAAAGATAGCAGACTGTGCTGATGTGCATGGTCATGGTTATTTTTAATGCTGTCTTCAAACCCATGAGGCCGTGCTTCGTTCCGGTGTGTGATGTCCAAGTGTGGAAACGTAGGCATCTAGAAGCCACGGAGGATAACTATTTGCAAGGAAGCATAACACCCACACACTTGGCCGCACTGCAACAACAGCCAGCCGTCTCTCTTTGTCTCTCCTCCACACACGCACACCATTTCCTGTCTTTAACACCTGATGCATAATAAATGATTGTCTGTCTGCAGAGATGTGAGGAATTTAGGTTAATGTATCAATGCAGATTGAAAATGCAGGAGTTGCAGATTATTGACAACCAGGACAAGTGGACCTGAACCCTTTGGTGCATCTGTGTGACAGAGAAGGTTGACTCTAATCACAGCCAGTGGAATAATACGTTATTTACAAATGCCCGGGTTTGGAATTGACCCGTGCATCATCACCGTGTGCCGATAATGGAATTATTTCGGAGCAACGCCACTCTGTTGGCACTTCAGTGCAAACACAGAGAGAAAACTAAATTCTCTCAGTGTATCCACAGAAATGTTAAGGGTTGTATTCAATCAAACACACACACACAAAAAAATCAACTTTCACATGGTTATAGCTGTGGAGTGGTCGGCATATATGGATGAAGTAATATGATTGTTTCTGACAATATCTATACACCTAAAGGCGCTCCTCTTATAAATAACAAAAGTTTTTATGAAGTCAAAATTCAGTTTCTTACATTTCCATTATCCACTTGATGGGCCACTGCAAATTACTGACAAGAGGCTATTCACTGTATTGTTACCAGCACTGCCACATTTTTCTGAATAATTGGAAGCTCTGTGGTAACAGAGTTTGTCTTGTTAGTGTGACAGAGATGTCAAGGGCTTAAGAGAACCCTGTAACCTGGACTATCTAATGAGCCTTTGGCTTTCAGGTCTAATTGGGTGCCGGGTGAGTGTGAAAAGGAGGCTTTGAGTCCTGTTGAGTGTGCTTTGTGCCAAATTGTGTAGTTTAGGGAATTGGTCAGACTGACTGGGAGCTTGGAGCAATAAACAGGAGCAACAACTTTGTGTCTTACTTGAGGAGCACTAAAGGAAAGTGCAGTTTCCTGATACAACAAAGAAACGTATATATATATACAGTATATATCTATATATCTATAGATATATAGATATATAATTAATGTAGCATCTCTGACAAGATGAGTATTTTTGTTTTGTTCCAGCATGAGTGCAGAGGAAATAGCTCAAGAAAAGAGTAGCCTGATGATGTCTTCCAATCCCACAAATCAACGCAGCAACAAAAAGATGACAGTCTGGTGGAAGTAGCAGGAGATTGCTATGAAGCTAGCCCAGAGCGACACTTTGCTGTCTGACTGAAACACTGTGTCTGTAGATATAAATAGCGGGGTGGTAAAAAAAAAAAAATCACAGCTTAGAAACCCCGTTAGTTAGTTTTCACGTCTCCTTCTGGAGTAGGACTGCGGCAGAGACGCTGCTACAGTTAGAATCAGACACGCTCGTGTTCGATGCTTTATGTTTGCGGCCTAATTATTACACTGAGATGCCTTGCTCCGGCTTTTCATCACAATGCAGACATCGACAGTCAGTGTGGTATAGATAAAACAGATTACTTGATTAAATGCAGAACTGATGAAGACGCTACTAAATTAATTCCATGCTCTTAAACTCCCCTTAATTCTCTTATAACTTACCTTTGCCTGCAATTATGGTGGCATCTGATCGTGGAGACTGCTTGATATGCAATATGCCTGCTCACATACTCTACCATTACTGACAATAACTCCTCAATTCCTTTAATTTCCATTATATTGCAAACTGTTTCTTCTAATAAATGTTGTAAATATTCTTATTTTGCTGATGTCCTCAGTTACAGGTGGCTTTATTCCCCTTAAAAGGGATTTTTAGTTTTGCTTGCTGAGGGTGAAGGGCAGAGGATGTAGCACCTTGTTAAGCCCTGCTGGGGCCGTAGCGCCCCCTGGCCCAGTAAGAGTGCATTGTGTGTCTCTCCCTGTATCCAGTGGAGCCTGGCAGATGCTCCTCTTCCTTCCTGGCATGTAGGAAAGACACAGAACCTGATCAGAGCGGCATCAACCTGGAATCTCCAATCACCCGGAAGCAATTAGGCCAGAGGCGGTATGAATTCTGTCCAGCTGGTTCAGTCAGGGCCGATGCATGTCATGTGTGAACAGCTCGCCAACGAACTCTAGTGAGATCACATTTGTTATTAAGATGTAAGGGAACTTATGTCTTTTTGATTTGAACTAGTTGTTTTGTTTAATGAGCATTGCCTTTTGTTTTTGGTTTGCTTATTTGAAATTGCACACGGTCACTTACTTTTCTGTTTGTTTATGTTACCTGTATTGTCCTTAAAGGTCCAGTGTGTAAGATTTAGGTGAAAGGGAACTCTTGGCAGAAATGTAATGTAGAATAATCCTCATGATGTTTTCATTAGTTTGTTTCATCTAAATTGTATGAATTGTAGTTTTCTTTACCCCAGAAAAGACCCTTTATATTTAAATACTTTATATTTACATTGAGGGGACCCTCTCTACGGAGGCCGCCATGTTTTTTACATTAGTCCAGACTGGACAAACTAAACACCTTTTGAGTTTTTATGACAATTAAAGCTACCACAGGTTCTTTTTCATGTTTGGAAGGAGAGGGTGAGGTGAGGGGTGTTCAGCTGCAACATGCAACTTCAACACTAGATATCACAAAATTCTACACACTGCACCTTTAAGTATGTGTAAACAGCAATAGAAACCTCAGTCATCATGACTTGAAGAAGGCTGATTGAGTAGAACTCAGAGGGGTTCAGCTGAACAGAGTTGAGAACAGAGGGTAAACCTCAAGTGCACAAGTAAAGACCAGCAGACTTAAATTATGCTTTACTACCCAGATGCTTTACGACCAACACATTCATCGGAGAGTTGTCATGATGTCGTTGTTGCAGCAGGTTCACTTTACTGAACCTGGTGTGTGCTCTTTATTAAGAGGTCACCAATAAATGGATGAGGAGGAGAGGAGAGGGTGAGGTGAGGGGTGTTCAGCTGCAACATGCAACTTCAACACTAGATATCACAAAATTCTACACACTGAACCTTTAATTAAGTCTGAAAAACCAAGTTTAAAACCAACTTTCATTGACCAAAAACATCTAGTTTTATGTTGCCACCTCTTCCGTAACAAGCCCAATTACACAAACTGTGATTTGTGAATATGGGCGAAACAAATAACATTGTATCGATTGATTAAATATCATATATTCTGTGTATATTAGTAGAATAACATACTAGGGGATCCCAGAGCTGAGACAAGCACCTCACAGTCAGGTAGGGCAGCAGGTCACAATGTCAATGTTGGAGAAATATATTATAAAATGAGGACTATTGACAGGGTCAAGATGTTTGGAGAGGGAGCGACCAGCTGCATTGTGTTTGGAGATATGTAGAAAAACTGAACTATAGGCCTGATTTCTCTGCAGCATATAGTCACAAATAATAACCCCCATGACACAGTGAGATTTTTTTATGAAAAGAGCTCACAGGCTGACAACCTTGATTGGGCCTATTATTTATTTCTCTTTATTCATTTGTGTTTCATACTCCTCTCCATCCACTTCCTCTGTATTGCCTGGAATTCCATGCAATAACATGATCTGTGCAAGGGGTCAAATAAAATGTTCCGTTCCTCAGTCGAAACTGCCCGGCTTTAGGTGGAGTTCAACTTTGACCCCTGATTTCCGTCAGCATTAGCATTTTTTTTTTTTGACTGTGCCCTCACTTCAGAGCTTCTCGAAACAGATCAGACGCAGTTCCAACGGACGCGGTTCATTTAGTTTGCAGCTGGGTCGACTGCATTCTTGCAACAAGGCTAACTCCCTATCGATGTTAAAGAAAGTGACAAAAAAAAATCTGTGAGGGGAAAAAATGATATGTATGAATCCTTGGGCAGAACTATTAAGTGTCAATACTGGATGCATCAGGGAGACTTCAACTTATTTGTATAGCACTTTAGACACAACATTGTTGATCCAAAGTGTTTTACAAAGTGATAACTGATAAGCAGTGATAGCAATAATAATGATAACAACAATCAAAACAGGCAACTAGGAAGTCTCTGCTCAGATCATCTCATTGTCCTGACACTGGTCCTGGGTCAGGAGCCCTGAGATGTGGGATGGAGCGAGACAATTTGGTACCTTGTACACAAACATAATCATTTTAAAATCAATCCTGCAGCTGACAGGCAACCAGCGGAGCGAGGCAAAAATGGGTGTAAAGTGTTCCCTCTTGTTTTGACCTTGTTAAGACTCTCGCTGCTGCATTTTGAACCAGTTGGAGACGGGATAATGAAGACTGAGCGATGCCAAAATATAACGAGTTGCGGTAATCAAGGCGTGAGGATAT